TTTGACTGAAGTGATTTTTAAAAATAAAAGATCAAGGAGGTGTTGAAATGTTCCACAAAATAAGTTATACAAAAACAAACACACCTTTTGGTGTGCAAAGTATCTTCACCAACCATTCATGTAGATATTTAATAGTTTGGAGGGAAGAGAGATAGTTTGGTGTGTTGACTCCTCATTCATCTTGCTGTTGCGGTTGTATCGTTTTAAAATAAAACAAGAAATCAGTTAAAATTCAATCGTTTTTTCCTTATTTATTTTACTAAAAATACTCTGTTGTTGAAAATTTCAAGTCTGCAGGCAATATATATATATATATATATATACATATAATTTGTGCATTTCTGAATTGTAGTTTAACCTAGTTTAATTCTGAAACTACAATGTATGAATGCAGGTTTCTAATGTTGATTTATAGGATGATCATCTTTTAAGTTTAAATTTATCCCATTGAGATAATAACATGACATGTAATAAAAACAACAATTCATGTCAAGAAAATTATGGCCTGATTATGAAGTTATCATTTTTATAATTAAAATCATAATGGTATCTCTTGCAAGTACTTTAATTTGACATCTTTATTTTTAATATGTATTAAAGAATTTCAGTATTCCAATGATCCATCCACACACACAAATATTAAAGATGGATTTTTGACATGTATTTGTAGTTTACAATTCAATTATTTGTCATGTTACCAAAGTAATACAACATGTTGATTTTACAAATATGTTCAAGAATCAATTACCTATAGATCTAAGAACCAACTTGCACAAATTTCAAAATAAACAAAATAAATCAAAGTCAATTTTAATTTTAATTTCATAAATATAGTATTACTCAAGTATACAAAATAAATTACATTCAACAATAATCAACAAGATATTCAACATTAATATGTGGAATACACAATGAATTTTTTTACTTTGCATGTTTAGAATGTCAAAACATCCATCTATCATCTATCCAACACCTAACATGCACTCATCCATCAAGATAGAGCAAAGCTTGTCCACTTTTGTGGATTGCCCAAACTGGATGTTACCACATTTCCTATTGTTTTATTATTATTATTATTATTATTATTATTAATGTATCATTCTGTGTGTGCATTTTTATTTTTTTCATATTTCTTTTTCAATTGATTTCCAGAATGAAGTAGATCTGTCTGAATAGTTTATTAACACAAGGAAAAGCAAGAAGCTCTAAACTTTTGATTATCTGATTGCAGAAAAGAAGAAAACAAAGTTTACGTAGCATTTACAGAAAGCCTTGAATTCAGACCTAGCACCCAAAAAAAAGCAAGTGGGGCAGTACAACAATATGAGAGCATGTTCTCCATCAAAACTTGAACAAGACAAAGGCTCCAAGTAATTAGAAGCGGAGAAAAACCTTTGGAATTGCTCACAGTAAGCCACTGAGATAGTGAACCTCCAAGCTTTTCTAGTGACTATCCAAATCCTTTAATTGAATGGCCAAAATTGGGGACCTAGGAAGAGTAGATTGAAGGATTCAAAAATCTCATCCACACACAAACCTCACTTAGTTGGAGTTTTGATTCATGTTCTATTAAACCTTAACATCTCAACCCTCCAACACCTACTCTAGCTCATTTTCTCATGTGTGTTTATCTTTATGAAGTGGTTGAGGCACACATTTGTTATTGGTAATTGCCATTCTGAGGGGACAAATTCCATCCAAATTCTTGTCATAGTGGATCTGAATTCAGTTGTGATGTTGTCATTTTCAATGAGAGTAATATCAAGAGTAATATCATAACGAGTTTTCCTTAAACCCCTGAAGTACTATTATAATTATATTTTCTGTTTTGGTTTAAATTGTTTATTTTATTTTGTTTTTTAAAATTATTATTCTTCTTCTTCTTCTCTGGCTGTTAATTATGTATCAAGTTTGATGTACTGGGGCTCAAACAAAGATTGGACTTTATGATGTTTCCACAATCATTTGTGTAAAATATTGAACAACATACTTAAATTCTTTTTACTTGAAAAAAGATTGAAAAAGGGGGGGGGAAAAGAAAGAAGAAGAAGAAAAGAGACTAAAAGAATTTAAACTAACATTTTCCACACATGTTGTCAACCAAAAATTGCCATTTTTTGTACCAAATTTATTGATTAAAAAAGAAAAAGGTAAAGCAATGTAAAACATATTATTTAAAAACATGAATGTCATTAAATCATTTTTACTAACTAAAAACCTTAAATTTACATTATCAATTGCATTTTCTCAATAACAATTCATAAGAGCAAACATGTCCCCCATGAATGAAAACTGTGTCATATTTCAACATTCAAAAATTGTGTTCCCAAACATAGTCATGGTCCCAAACATAGTCATGGTCCCAAACATGTGTGTGTGTGTGTGTTTTTTGCAAGTTCCAATGAAAAATCATGCCCTTGGAAATGAACCAATTGGCACACAATCAACCTTGCAATATCAGCATTGTTGTGCATTCTGAAGTCACTCAAACACATGGAAAATAGAGAGAAGCAGTGTGTGTTATTGTGATCATGTTCCCAACCTCACCTTTTGCTTTTTTGACGTTCTCGGCACTCTCTATGACCAAGCCCCAAGCCCCATGTAGGGAAGCTTCCAAATAGTTCACTAGAACAATACATGAATAGTAAAAAATGTAGTTGGGCAAGGGGGGGGGGATAATGCTTATATTGAATATTCCATATCTATAGAAGGGAGAGAGTGCCCATTTGAGGGAAAGTTTGTTCCCAACCAGCAGATTTATAGGATGCCACAAGCACTTGTCTTTTATAGAGATCTGTGCCCCAGGAAGGAAAATGGACATCCTCTATTAATATCACCAATTATTTGGTTCCTGTTGGTCAGAAAATGGACACCCTGGAGAGCTAAAACTAATGTTGTGCCAGCGTGGCATGCCTTGGGGTGAGACGTGGCGAGTGTGAGCGGGATGGGATTCCGACGTGGCAGATGATTCTTAGTCTTATCTGGTGGCTGGTCCCCCTAACTTGGTTAGATTGTGTTTTTTCATTCATCCATGTTGATATGCATGTGTTGGGTTGTCTGTCTGGTGGCATTACTTGATATTTGTTCACTTGTATATTATATAATTAGGGTTGCTTGTTAATATATATATATATATATATATATATACATACATATGTATGTATAGTTTCTCAACTAATAATTTATTTTATTAATTTGAATTAGGGAAATTGCTGAATTATGCAATGACTCCTTTATAGCTAAAAGTTATTAAAGTTAGTCTAATAGTAATCATAAAGCTGAATTTTCATCAACGGAAGAATAGTCTATTATGCTTAGATCAGTTAAATCAGTTATGGAGGTAGTTGAAGCAACCAGCACTACACATTTGTATGCAGCAACAATAGCATATGTTCATGTGGTTGATGAATTAAGATAGGTCCAAAAGTCCTGCACATGCTTTGTTTCTTTTGGACAATGAGAGTGTCTTGCCCAATGAATTGCAAGCAAACATATCTGGACTCTAAATCAACCCAACAGATGTAGTTTTCAAAAGTCATCATATTGCACACATTCCTGCTTATAGTCCACATTCAAACTCAACACTCAACCCTTTACCAAGAAATTCTCTTACAAAGTATATCTCTTACCATACAAAGTATAAGATGTACATTTAATTTTTTGGATGTAATCACATGGATGAGGATCTACAACTATTCATCCAGTGTAGTCCAGTGGAGGAGTTGTCCTACGAACTGGTGATATTAATGGGAAAAGCAATGAAATAATAACCCGTACTCTCATCACACATACATATAAATATATAATATGAATAATATTTTAACCTAGATTTTTTTTTAATATTTTACAAATATTGAATAGATTAAAACTAAACGAGTACCCGAAATTGTGTTCAAGGAAAAAAATTCATCACATATTAAAAAATAATAATCACTGCACTAATTACGTTTGCAATTAGTTTCTACAGTTGATTTTAATATTTTTATTCTTGTTCTCCTTCATTGCTCTATGAGGAATCACACAGAAAAAATATCATGGTTTTTTCATAGTTGATACCAAAAATTTCTTCAAATTGAAAATCCAACAGTACAAAAAAACCACTGCAAAACCCACAAGTCCCAACTTACTTCCAAAATACTACTACCAATAATAAAAATAAAAATAATAATAAGCCCCAGGCAATCAAAGCTTAAGATCGACGAACAGATGAGCGAGCACATAGTTTTCGGACGAAATGAAAACTGATAAATGAACCACAATCATGGTAATAACATCAGGAATGGTGTCATCCTCCAATTGTGGCATCCAATGTACGACGACAGCGGGTGAGAAACACGAGGACGTGGGGGTTTGAATTCTGGAGCCATCAGGAGGAGATTTAACCACAAACACGCAGTTGGTGAGTGTGGGATGATGTCCGGTGCTGCTCACATTCTCTCTCGCAGCAGTGAAGGAGATGACGACGACGACGACGATGACAAAGTCGGAGCAGACAATGAGACAAGCATCGTTCGGGGGGGGTGGGACGACTGACTTGTTCTATAAATGCCAGGGCTGCTACACTATCTCACAATGGGCGCCTGGATTAACCAACTCACGGCACAAACAGCATCCAACCCAAGTCCCCTCAAAACAAGGGCAAACAGACGGCAACAGAGACACAGCCAGACGGCAATTAGATCAGTTCCCGGAGCACCCGGCATCATAAAAGAGAGACCTTAAATGCCATCTCAAGGTTCGGTTCTCTCTCGCTTTGTCTTGGCCCCTCTGCTACAGCCAATATGTGTGACCGACCTGCAAGGGTGTGCATCACTCCGTAATCATGAAGCGATTCTTACATCCGTCGCCTTCTGACAGGGCCAAACCAAGCCCCTCACTCCCTTTTTTTGGAAGTCACTATTGGGTGCCGGTGAAGTTGGTTGGTTGGTTGTTTTTTTTGTTTTTTTTGTTTTTTTTTTTTGCGTTCGGCCAGCTCCAACTCTACCCAAATCTCTGGGGTTGGGTGGGTGGGTGGTTGGGCGAGTCTCTTCCTGAAAGAGCTTCCCGTCAGATTCCAGATAAATATCCGAAAGCCGATGGATCTGCGTGCAGCCACAGTTCGAGACGGAGGAAATCCGGAGGGTTTGACTTGTTTTCTCAGTTGTGTTTTTTGGAATAAGATTGGCTGCTGCCAGCATGATTGTAGATCCTGTTCATCCTGGGGACTCGTAGCCCCTAATTCTTGGACTTGAGGGGGAATGATCAGGAATGGTGTAATCCTCCAGTTGTCTTTTTCCAGAATGTATTCTTGCTTTATCGTTTTGGGGCAAGCAGTTCCTTGCTGCTAAATGCGTATCAAATGAACACGACCGATGACCAGTAAATGGATCCGAAGTAGACGACGACGACGAGGCAGTGAGAGAGCAAACCGCAGCGAAACCTCGTCACCGAAACTACTCGTTTTGGAGGCTCCTCAGCTAAAGCGGTTGTAATTGAGGGAATTCGACCTAGTGGTTCAAACCTCGGCGTCGTAGGAGAAGAGATTTTACTCGTCTATTGCGACTACTAGTTATGAGTAAATAGCGTCGCATTTGATTGTAGATATGTAATTGATGTGAAGCTTAATGTTGAAATACCTGTTAAGCCTGTGAGTTAAAAGCCAAGCCGAATTGGGTTTCAATCCAGTTGTCGTGCTTTGCAAAAAACAAAATGTAGACATTTTCCAAGAGATGCCTTCACAACATCAAACGTGCAATCTTAGGGAAGCCATCTGAGTCACACCCTATTTTGAATGCATGTGCATAATCGGAAGAAACAGCCAACACAGCCTGGGCATGTGAGTAGCATGCATTATGCAAAAACTTCCCTATCTGAGGTAAATGTCATTACTTTATGGAATGTCTGATGAGCTTCCGACACGATTCGAATGTTGGAGGGTTTAAAATCAGGCAAATGCCGCGTCTTTGTGCAGCTGCGGCAGTTGTGAGTTTGGAAGACGTCAATGCATGCATTTGCTGCAGCATGAGGGATCCGGGCTCCTTTCTTATCTCTGTGATCGCAGTAAAAATCTCTCTATTGTCTCGTAATGCTACACTGCGTGCTCGAATTTACGTCCTTTGAATGCCAGGAATATCGTGGTAAAGAGCGATGGAGGGCATTCTGAAGCTTCCCACAGCTCTGGAGTCAAGCACAGTGGAGTTTACAAAGTCCACGAATCTTGACCGATGGGATGAGAAGCGAAAACCAGGTTTAGAGAAGCCAATGCAAGCTTAGGGTTGCTTGCCATTGGCTTTGGGAAGAAATTCCTCGCCAACTGTTTTACTTCCACCTCCGCAATAGACTTGATTGAGAATCCTTTGGCAAAAATCTAGTGGAGTTTCCACTTAACATTCCGAAACTGAACTTCGAAGATCCGTCGATTTTATTTTGTTTTGTTTCAATTATTTGTAAGATAGATGGGCGATTGTTATAGATAACCCGAGAAACTGGTTCAACTGCTTATTCTAGAAAGTGAGAATAGCGAGAAGCTGTGCACCTTCCTGGTGCGGTTTGAGTGGCATTCAATTATTCTGAATTGATCTAGTTTTTTCGCACAATCGAGTCCTTCTCATGGGTTTGATGAGACCTCGTTGTCTGTTGGATTGATTTCTAGTATGATGCACTTTTATCTAGTGTCTGAAGATTCGAAGTTTTAGACTTTTATATTGTATATATGTATGTGTTATTTTGAGCTTGGAACTTTTTAGCCATGCATAAATCATGACCTTAGGCTCACGGAAAGGGTTTGATGCATTGTTGTGACAGCCACGGAGTCCAAGCGATTTCCTCTCCTGCAGTCCTTCCCCTCCCCCAAAAGCACACTCCGCTTGTGATTCCGCCATCCCCGCGATCACTTCAACTAAAAGCGCAATGGGGTTGAGTTCGGAACAAAGATTAACGCCGTCGAAGCGGCACATGTTGCATCACAGAGCCTGGTCTGTCAGGGGGCTACCGAAGCATGTGGTAACAGTCAACATTTGTTGATGGAAAAGCCGTTACGCTCAAGTTAAACAGGATTGTGTGTCTCTATCTTCGATTTCTTCGAAGAAAGTTGTCGACGGCAGAGATGAAGACAATCTAGCAACAGCTACAATGAATGCCTTGCTCCGGAAAAAGGTATATGCATTTGGGCTCCTCCAATTCGCATCAGATGGAGCCAAGCATCTTCCAGGTGTGTATGTTCAATTCTCTTTCAATGCCATCTTTTTGAAAAATATGAAGTTTCTCGACGTGTTCAGCATGGTTTTGAGCTTGTGAGGTTGTTGACTGGAGATGCAGGGCGTGCAGTCCAATACAAAACCACGATCAAGGTGTTCACCTGGAAGAGATTCAGTTCATGACACACAGGACAGACCTCTTTGTTGTACACAAAGTTGTCTCATTCTACATGCTTGTGTTTCGGTCACTCTTCATTCCCCATCTGCTTCTGCTTCTTCTTCTTCTTCGTCTAGTACTACTATTCTTAATACCATGTTGTTTGAATTCACTGAACTTTTGCAGTGGTTGTGAACAAAAGGGAGCAAGAGCGTGCAGAATGTGAAGACCTGCTTGCTGCATAAGCCTCACTGAAGAAGTCAAGGCAAAACTTAGAAGCCATTGCTGACAAAGATTGTTTCAAAAAGTCGAACTGAGCTTTGCATTGACGAAGTCTACTCTTTTGCATTGATGGAGTCTAATCTTTTTGCATTGATTTAGTCTCATCCTGTTGCTTCGGCTGGAATGACTGTGTGTGGCTGCCAGTAAAATACGCTGACCTAAAATAAGTTGCAGGTATATGCTAATTATAATGGCCTCGCAAGCAACCTTTGAGATGAATGTTTCTAGTGAGTGCGAAGAGCTGGAAAGTTTGCTACAAAGTTGTCGGTGTAGTGTATTTCACTTTTGGGATTAGTTTAAAAGGCCTTGTTTTACTTTGTTTCAAACATCAGATATGTTGGTCAAGACATATGGATGAAGAGTAGGACTACAACAGGCTTGCTAGCATAGGCTATTATTTGCACACTTTGATAGAAAACAAAGCACCAATAATAATTTAACTTGCAAATATTGTGAAGATGGTTTTATTTCAAGAGAGTTTCTGAGAACGTTGAACTTGAAATTGAACTGAAATTATGTTGTTTTTCCAAACTACCACTATTTATTTGCATAAATACAATTAAAATTTTTTTAATTGCATAGAATACAGTTCACTGCATATATATCATAATTAATATTACTAATATCTTTAAACTTTTAGACTAACCTTTAAAAAAGAAAAAGAAATCCAATCAATGCATTGAATACTAAACAAAAAATATAAGTATGTTTTATTTCTATTGATTGTGTATTTATGGTGCTTAAATTTCCAAAATATGTTCATTTTTAATATCAGATATTTGAAATCTGGTTCAAATACTGAATATGTGGATTAAGTAAATTCATCAACCAGTTCTGAATAATAATCTAATTTCTCAAATTAAATCTCTCAATAGCTACTGTCAGTTTTAATTAAGTATATCATTGTTATATTTACATCTATAAATTTATAACATATTATGATTCTAAGTTGAAAGCAGAAGCAATTTGTTAATCCAAATATTTGATAATACAAGCTATATTTATATATGATTTGTTAATGAATATGATCAATATTTTAGAGAATTATTAATGCTACATTAATTGATATTGCTACACCCCACATGACCTCCACACTATTTAAATTGATCAAAAAGTATGTTTGTATGCCTAGGGCACATTTTGCAGTCCAATATTTAACTCCAATATTGATCCAAAAATAGAATAAATTAAAAAAATAAAATTTTGTGTATTTTTGGGAGTCAAATAAATGAATAAAAAAAGCATGATTATGTAAAAAAAAAAATTCTAAAAATTTCTAAAAATGATTCTTAAAATAAAATTATAACCCTTTTTTCATAAAATATTTGCTATCTCTTTCTTAACCACAATTCTTTTTAAAGCAAAGAAGTAAAAAATGTTTGAAAGAAGGTGCATATTATTAGCTAGTTATCTACAAGGAGGTTAAATGGGATATTGGAATATCAAGTGGAGATGTAGCATTAACAATTATCTTATTTTATTATACATTTAGATTGATATTTTTTATATTATTAAATTAAATATATTTATAACTTTTATTTTTATTAATATATTATAATCAATTTAGAAAAAAAATATGAAATATAAAAATAATAATCTAATATCATTAAGATTCATTAATTTTTTTATATAAGTTCTTAAATTTATAAATACATATATATATATATATATATATAGTATTACTACTGTCACAACAACACTCTATCGACTACATGCCTCCTTACTTCAAAACCTTACAAATCAATTTTTTTTTTTTTTTTTTTTTTTTTTTAATATCATTCATACGATTTGATTGAATATATATTTTTTATATTAGATCTTAAAAATTAAAAAACACATTGAGTACGTAGCAAGTTGTGGTGATAATAGCAAAAACTATAGATATATTAGTAGTATTATATTTATATATTTATATATTTATATAATTTTTAAAAATTCATATTATAACTCTTTAAATTTTAAAAAATAAAATAATATTTACTATTACTATATTATATAAAAATAATATTAGGATTTAAATATATATATATATATATATATATTTATATAATATTAATTAATATTAAAAAAATTAAAAATATAAAGAGACATTTATATCCAATAAAAGATTATATAGATTTTTAGCTATTTTAAAAATCTTGAGAACTTAAAAATTTATGCATAATAATTATATTAGAAATTTTAAAAACTAAATTATTAAATTATTATTTATAAAATCAATCAATATTTTATTTTTTTGTAGTTGTAAATATGATTTTGGATTAATTTTTAATTTTATTTCTTTTTTTCTTTATTTTTTTAGAGAATTATTAATGCTAAATCCTTAATTGATAATACTATATCCCATGTGACCTCTTTGTAGACAACTTGTTAATAATATATCTCTTTGTTTTGCACATTTTTCTCTTTCTTTGCTTTAAGAAAGGATGGTGGTTGAGAGAGAGAGAGAGAGAGAGAGAGAGAGAGTTAATATTTTATGAAAAAATATATTGCAAGATGTTTTTTGATAAAAAAATGTTTGTCTAAAAAATTATTAAATTTAAAATTCTATTTTTTATTTTTTATTTTATTTAAAAATTTCGGGCTACTAAAATCACAAAACATATATTATAATTTATTCTATTTTGGAGTTAAATTAGAATTAAACATTGGATTGCCAAAAACACCTTGAGCATAAAAGCACACTTTTTAGTCAATTTAAGTTGTGAGGAGGTCATGTGGGTTGTAGCAATATTAATTGGAGATGTAGAGTTAATAATTTTATTTAATTATTATAACTATTATTATTCTTTTAAATCAAAAGTTTTCATAAATAATAATATTGGTAGTGGTCCTAATAAGGAAGAATATAAAAATCTTGTATCTTTTTAATATTTGTTATATTGTATGATATCAACATGCTAATAATAATAGATGGCAAAAAAATATAATAGAATTGATGAAAAATTATCAAATGATAGCACATTTATAAGTGGATGTAGTAAAAAAGATCTAAATTTTTTTTTATTTAATCATAGGCATTGTTTAGTTATGTAAAACATTTATTTGCACCATATTTATTATAAAAGTATAAGATAAAATAAGATTATATATTAAAATTTATAAAAAAATATATTATAATAAATTTTTTATAACTAATATAAATAAAATAATTAATTTAAATTTTAAAATAGTTAAATAAATTATTCAAAAAATATAAATTTTGGACCCAACATATAAAAAAGTAATTGTTGATATTGTTAAAAATACCTACAAATTACTCTATTTTATTTTATTACTGTAAATCATGTATAAATATAAATACTGATTTATAATTAAAATTTATTATATAATGTATAATATATTTTTTATCATACAAAAAAGCTATTATAGAAGTATCTTGTAAATTATACTCATTGTCTACAAGTCTTTTGGTCTTTATAAAAATGGTCTTCTACATTACTTTTTAATTAACTAATATACATAGAAGCAAGGCTATAACTATTTTAGTCTTGTCAACAACTTCTACATATTCTATGTTGATATAAGACTTTGATTTTTAAAAAAATTAATATTATTCTTTTTGGATAATTTTCTTCTTTCTTTTTTCTTTTCTGTTGTTTTTTTGAAAGTTATACATGATTCTTTTAACAAAAATTTCTAAATCTATATTTTTAACATGTAAAATTTATATTATTATTTGTAGTAATTAATATTTATAATATGTTAGATTTTTCCTCTATCCATTGAAAAATTAAAAATGTATATTTTTTTTGTTTTTTTTTGTTTAACACTAAGTATGTTTTTTTTACCAAATAGATATTGTCTTACAGCTATTTTTATAAGTTGAATAGATAAATATATTAGGAGCTTATAAAATAAATAAAAATATTTTAGTTTTAAAATTTTTCTTAAAAAATAAATAAATAATTAGTAATTTTTTAATTCAGATTCTATTAAGACAAAGATTAGTCCATTTATTTTTAAACATAGAGTATAAATATGAAATTTTATTTTAAATATTTTTATAGATTTCAAAAACTCTAATAGATAATTTTTGTACTTAATTATTTTTTAATACTTCATGGTCTTTATAATTCTTTAACATATTTTAGTTACTTTTTGAGATATATAAAGGCAAAATTATGGTTATGTTTAATTTTTTGTTAATGCTTATTTTTTAATCTTATCTTAGTTCAAGATTTGTTAAAATATCTCAAGTAAATATTTATAATATTAAAGTTAAGTAAATATTTAACTTTTTTAGACTTAATATACATTTCTTGTTTCAATATTATTTTTAAACAACTCAAGAAAAAACTTAAGACTACAAGATGTTCAATCTATATAAGAATATTATCTTTAGAACCAAACTTAATTGAAGATAATAAACTTTATTTTTATTTTTTGTAAAATATTATATTTTATAAAATTAAAATTAAATTGATAAAATATAAGTCACATTGACATCAATAACTAGTTGTTAATGTTTTAAAATACACATACATATGATTTATTTAATTACTGTTATTTCAATTTTACAAACCTTATTATTATTTTAATATTTTAATATTTTATTTTAAATAATAAAATAATAAAATAATAAAATAATAAATATTGGTAGTTAAATTTTTGTAACTTAATTATATCATATGCTATTCATATTAAATGCTAATTTAGAAATTTAGCAAATACATTGAATTGGAGTTAGTTTTTTGTTGTAGATTTTGTAACATTGTATTTGCATCAAAGTAGATTCTCAAACTTGTGTTCTTGTTTCATTTAACTTATCCAACACATTAATTTTTTACTCCTATATTATTGTTTGACAACCATTGATTTCAAATCTTCTTTATTTGTCTCTCAACACAATTCTTCTTATTGTTGAAACGTGTTCAAAACATCTATAAAATTTCATAATCTAACTACATCAAATTTGACATGTAGTTCTCTTTTTATTGCTTATAAGTTGTTTAATACCACAACGATTTGTTTTAATATGTTTTATGAATCCTAGAGTGTGAGGGCAAATGCAGGTTTTCCTCGAGTTCCAAGGTTTAGGGTTTGACAAACTAGCATTCAACGTCGGCGTTGCAGGCACATGTTTCCACGAGTAGTGACAAATTGCGTTCGTTGGGTGCAGGTCCAGCATGGTTGCATTCCACTGGGATAAGGATTTGGAGAGACTGAGGCGGGTCGTCAGGTGTTAGAATGTATATATATAGATACAGATATATTTTTTCGCTCCAAAACCAACGATGCTGTTCCCGAGTGTGGTGCTCCCGATTATTTTTGAGTAGAGAAGAAGTTCTCACATGTGGGTTCTAGTGCAAATCTAGCTATTATGGCTCATTCACACACTTGTCCGGGGGATGTTAGTTCCAAATGCTCCATTTAATGCAGAATCTTAGCATGCCCTTCGAACCGTGTAACATGCTTTGTAGTGATTTAAAAAATTGAGTATAGCTCTGTACCTCCGCATGTTGGGTCCCATATACGTGTCTGCGACTT